TTTTATTTAATTTTTATAAAGCTTAGGTCTTATAGAAACTTCATCCTTTAAAAAAAAAAAAGACTTGTTGATTGAATTGGTCACCAATGGGTTCCAAGCTCAGTTAAAATTCCCCAACCCAAATTGCTTCTTATAAGGGGTTATTTTTAATAAAAAAAAAAATGATTGTGACCTCCATGTACAAAAGATAAAAAGTGTGGTTTGTATAGAGCCGAGGCTCTAAACAATCAAATTAGAGTCCACCTTCAAATAGTATCGAGAAATATGGTTTCAATGCTAGGCATTTTTGTAATAGCCTTGACATATATTTGTATATTTAATTATAAAATTTAAAGATTAAAAAATAGTGTAGATCAAGCAAATCTATGAAACTTGATAATCTTGAAAATTGACGGTCAAAAAATGCATTACAATATGTACTATTTTCAAAACTTGAAATCCATTTTTTTCCCATGCCCATCCATCTTGATGTCGAGATGATCAATTTGATGATTTTGAGCATCAAAACGACTCCTTCGGATGAAATGTTTGAGGGAAGTTCTAATTTGATTGTTTAGAGCCTAGGCTCTATATAAACTTTTCCAAAAGATAAATGGTCTTTTTGTAGAGAAAACTTAAAAAATAATAAGTCGGGGAATGATTTCATGCAATGTTTGTATAGTAGTACAATGTAACCATCTTCAAAAACCTTGTTAGAGGTATTTGTTTGACACAAATTTTAAAATGTACACTCTTTTCATTATGAAAAACAATCACAAAAAAGAAAATTTCGAAAAAACGTTCTAGGAAATCTTCACTCTAGCCCAATTAATATAAGCCGTCCATTTTATTGAGATGGTTAGATATAGGCCTCAGAAGGATTTTTTTATTCCCAAAAATTTTATATAGAGTTATCATCATTAGATTAATAATGCTAAAAAAGAAAAAAGCGATTTTGAATTCGTTAAGGTCTAGATCTTGACATTCACCTAATGGATTGTCGAGATTCATTGTTGGATGGGTACTAATTTTGAGGGTGCAAATTGAATTCTTTTTCATAAGATTGATTATGAGGATGAAGATAATGTGTGTGCAAAATTTGAGGTCATATACATACCAAAAATATGATTTTCTAGATGTGTGGTTATATTATACTACCATACAACTCCTGCATTAGATCATTTCCCTAATAAACTGGCAAGAACTAATAATAAAAGTTTGAGGCTGACCATTTCTCCACGAGTTTCAAGCCCGCTCGGCGATTTCTCAAACTCGGGACTGTTATCTCGAGTCTACTCATGTCCGCAGGGGCTCTCAAGCATGAAGCAATTATATCAGCCATCTATGGCTGTCAATGGATGGCAGATGCCAGGTGGAGTATCACGAAATATGCACTTCAAAGAATTCTACGCTTTACTATGTTTTATACCAGTGGTTTAAAACTCGGCGATTTTTTGTTAGGATCATCGATTTGGATGTTGGATGGAAATCACCAAGGACAACCGATTCTAGTACGCCCTGGCTCATTTTCTCCCTTAAACTCTTCTTATGTATTTCTTGTTGAAGCTTGTTGATATTTTCTTGGGTCCCTTCTATATCTTACCTTATAAATCTTTATTTTAAATTTTATTTTTATCTTAGTTGTTTTCAAATATCTTTGGGCTCCCAAATTGGGATGGATCTAGAAGCAATCTATAATGCCGATTGAGTCCAACATGGATACGTAGATGAACCAAAGTTTTAAAAATCGTCGATCGGCCAATTTCGATCTGGATTAGAAATTGATGGGTACAGTCCAGTTCCTAGCATATATCAGAAACCAACTAGTTCTCTGACAAAACTGATTCTTTGACAAAATTGTCAGGAACTGACCGATTCTGTCATAATAGAATTGGCCAACAGGCCCCACCTTTACGTTTTGATTGTTTCTTTGCTATTTTTTTAAAAAAAAATCTCTCAAGGTCCCACGCCATTCCTTTTAATCATAGGTGAGGTCTGTAGAAGGTATCAACCGTATACGATTGAACTAAGGTGCACCTCAAAACTATGTTGAAAACGCAGTTTCGGTGCCACAAAGCCATGTGATGATATGAAAATCTATTGTTGCCCCCAATTATGAAATGAGAAAGTATAGAATGAGACCATTTATTTTTAGTACAAGGTGAGGCATTAATCATGACCATTGGATGTGAAATTGGGAAGCTGCAATTATTCCATTGACCAAACTCAAACTTCAAAAGAATTTTTTTCGAATTTTGTAACGCATCCAACCTATCAAACTTCACATTTGATGGTTGTAAATAATTGTGACCATCTTATATCAAAGGTAAATAATCTCATTGTATAAAATCTCGAAATGTAATTTAAAGTTTCAAAATTTGTGATGATCAAACAGATCTATAACCATTTGAAAATCTTAAAAATGGATGGTCCAGATAACGTATTAGAAGATGAACTATATTTAGGACTAGAACTCCCTTTTTTCATGTCTATGAATCTCAAAGATCTTCTAGCAAATAACCCTTTTTTAGTTGATTTTTTAAGTGCACTTTACTCGTAAGGCATAAGGTTGACACTTTATATAAACTTTTTCCTTTAACCATTGCGTAGGCAGCCCACACCCAAATCGATGACTCCTGAAGGCCTACCCCACCTTGCTAAACCCTCGGCAAGGCCTTGTACTGCCCGTTGTGGGACTAATTTGCAATAGCTACACAGAGAGAGTGAGTAATACTTAAGCGATAGGCTTTTGGAAACTAATAGCTTGAGTGAGTAATACCTACGCGGCGCATATAGGAACGAATATTATACGGAAAAGTATTTACTTTTGGTACAAGGTGATCACAATTAATCTTGACTATTATATGTAAAATTAGGTGACGGCATTTATTGTATTGACTAAGCTCAAAGTTCAAATGAATTTGTTTCGAACTTTGTGATACACTTAAGCTATTAGATATCACATTAGATGGTCAAAAAATAATTGTGACCACCTTGTACCAAAAATAAATGATCTTATAGTATACAAACCCATATTAACTTTTGCAAGTTAATTTTACAAGCATAAATAGTATTAGTGAGTAGATGTTAAAACCCGTTGATTTAAAAACTGTTGGGTCAGTACAGAATCACCCAGTTCAACCTGAGAACTGGTCACTCTATTCCGGTTCTACGTATATATAGGATAACATGCAAGTTTAAAAGGGCATCGCCAGTTTCACACAATAGAATGACGATTCTCTACAATAGAACAACGATTCCTTACAATAAAACGACAATTCAGACCGTCGATTCACCGATCTGGACTGGATTTTTACCGGTTCACTATGTTTTCAAGTGTTTTTTCACCTATTCAATGTTTTTTTTGCATAGTAAAATGGCGATATGGACCGTCGATTCACCAATTTGAACTGGCTTTTGGGGTGCCCAATCCAGGTCACCCATCCGTTTTTTAATCATTGGCTAAAAAAAATGAATATTACATAGTTTTAGCAACCTATTTTTAGGTAGCTACGTAGCTTTGGGAACTAATATTAGCAAGTGAAAGCTACGTAAATAAGCTTATATGGTGTAAGGAAAATTTCGCCAATAAAGTAAATTAAGAGTACCAAAAATCTCAAAAATTACTTTCTTCTTTGTTTCTTCACTGAAAAGCACAAAATGAGCATCAAATGTATAAAAATCATTTCCTCCCGCGTTTCTTCACTAAAAATCACAAAATGAATATCAATTTTTTTATTTATAAAAGTATTGTATCAAAATTAGTATCAATAAACCCATAGATAAGGGAATGATGTTTCAATATTTACTTATTTTTATAAAATAATGAATTTACATAATGCACCACCCTCAAATTTTTTTTAGAACTAAACACTTGTATTTAGGGATTTTTAATTTTTTTTTAAACTTGAAACTGGTTGATCCTATCGATTTTTTTTGATCTAGATCACGATGTATCCATTCGACCCGATTTTCAGAGTGGTTGATCTAGATCACAAATCCAATTTTTAAAGAATGTGGTTTGTATAAGGCTAAAGCCCTAAACAACGTAAGTGCACCTTCAAATAGTACTAAAATATTTTATTTCAGTAGTGGAAATCTTTGTGTTGATTTGAAAATTTATTTTCATATATGATTATAAAATTTAAATCTTCAAAAAATAGTGTGGATCGAGTGGATCTATAAACACTTGATAATCTTGAAAATTGATAGTTTATAACATGCATTACAAGACGCATTATTTTTAATACTTAGAGATCCATTTTTTCTCATGTCCATACATCTTGGGTACGATGGTTGTTTGAAGATTTTGAAAAGGGAAAAGTTTACATAGAGCCTAGGCTCTAAACAATCAAATTAAACCTTACCTCAAAACTTTTCCTAGAAGATGTTGTTTTGATGCCCAAATATCATTAAAATGATCATTTCGACATCAAGAGGAATTGACATGAGAAAAAAATGGATTTCAAGTTTGGAAATAGTGCATCTTGTAACACATTTTTCAACCGTTAATTTTTAAGATTTTCGAATTTTCATAAATATGCTTGATATACATTATTTTTGAAGCTTTAAATTTATAACCAAAGATAAAGATATAATTTAAGGCTATCACAAAACTTTCCATCATTGAAATTATATTTTTCGATACTATTTGAAGATGGGCTCTAATTTGATTGTTTAGAGCCTCGGCTCTATACAAGAAAATCAAAACAACCTCTTCTAATAAATTTTTGAGATGCGTGATTGTTTAGGCCCCAAACCAATCTAAACTTTTTCTATTTTTAAAACATGGACCTAGTTTTTATGCGGCCAAGCCTGTAGAAATGTGGGCTTCTTAATAAATCTATTTTGACATGGATTTTAAGGCATAACTTTAAAAAACATGTAATCTCTACCGGAGATCATCAATATGAATAAATAAATAAATTAAAAATCTAAAAATATTAATTCTAACGAAAAAACATTTTACACATTCCATTGTTCTAACCCGCATAAGTAGAAATGCTGTCCAGCCCACATGAAACAATTTCCCTTAAGAACGTCGTGAAGAACAATCCCTCTCACCGACCCAAGTTTTGAAACACTACTGTAAACCTCAGTTTAAAAGGAGAGAAGGAAACATCAAACGCGTGGAGGTGAGGTGAGGTGAGGTGCGATGGCCGTGTGTGCTTGTAAGGACGCATTCTCTCTCTTTGCTCCTGCTTCTGCTCCTGCTCCTACTATTTGTGCCCCTCTCTCTTTCTCTCTTATATCTCCTCCTTCCACCCTTTTCCCCTCTCTCTCCTCTTCTGCCAAGATATTGAAGAAGCCTATTCTCGCTATCTCTCTCGCTGTGCCTCAAAAGTATGTATATCCCGACCCCATACCCGAATTTGCAGACAAGGTAACTCTCTCTCTCTCTCTTTGATGACGTATTACTTGTTTTCTATTTGTAACTCTCTTTCTCTCTCTAATGAGTTCTTGGGTTTCTCCTTGTTTCTCTTTCTCCCCAATTTATCCATTTGATATTTGTATCTCTCTCTTTCTCTCTCTAAATGATCCATTTGCTTGATCTTCTAGTGTTTTAAGTATCTCTCTCACATTACCCTTTTACTTGGTTCTCTAAATTATCTCTCTCGTTACTGTTGTGCACGGGAACTCTAAGCTCGATGGATTGATTTTTAATTTTTTTTAGGAAACTTATCAATATCAATTTCAATCCCACATAATATAGGATTTCTTTGTGTGAGTGATTTTGGATAGCACCAAATCCAACAATCTCTATATTGATATCAAAATCACCGGCTTATCATGTCAATATCTATTGGATAGCTTTATAAAGTATTCATATTTTGGCAAATAAATTTCTTCATCATGCAGAAAAATAGTGTTTGGCGTCAAATTTCTCCACCTCAAACCTATTGAAAACCCCAAAGGCTCTGATACCACTTGTTGTTGTGTACGAAAGTTCTAAACCCGATGGGTTATTTGCCAAACCCGATGGGTTATTTTTTTGGCAAATAAAGCATATACCACAAGAACATAATAAATTTACATGGTTCACCCCAATAGAGCGACATCTACGGGTGAAGACGATTGATGTTTTTCACTAAATAAAAATAAAATAAAATTACAAAGTACGTACTTGGTTCAACACGAAGCTGAATCTCCCCATCAAGCCTTCTTCTCTCTCAAAAAAAACCTCCAAAAGTTTCCCTCTAATTTTCTAGATCTTTCTCTCTCTAAAATAACCTATATAAAGAAAAGTAACCTCCCAATATCAAGTACGTAGGCTCCAACATCTAATTTTTTGGATCTTTTTGTCTCCAAAATAACCTATGTAAAGAAAGAGTAACCTCCCAATATCAAGTACCTGAGGCTCGAACTTTTTCCAAACTTTTAGACAGTTAACTTTACCTTTATCTACTTGTAGACCCATATGTCTATCCTTATCTATATGGACTTACCTACAACTCCAAAATAATAAACACTACCCAATTAAATGGGAAACAAAAAGATAAGGAAACTAATCTCATAAAATAGGGATTCAAGGCAAACCATTATCAACAAATCTTCATCTTGGCTTGAATTTTATAAGAGATTCCCATCGATCGTCTTCTTCACAAGTGCCCTCCATAGGCACTCACCTTGGCAACACGTTAGTCAAGTCCAAATATAACTTGAACTTCTGTAATGGAATTGACTTTATAAACATATTTGCAGCATTCTTTTTAGTGTTAATCTTTAGTAACAAGATATCACCTTCAGCTATTATCTCACGGATAAAATGGTACCTGACATCAATATGCTTTGTACGTGCATGATATATCTGGTTCTTCGCCAAATGTATTGCACACTGACTATCATAATAAATAATAGTCCATCCTGTTGTAAGCCCAAATTACTTACAATCCCTTTAAGCCAGATGGCTTCTTTCACTGCCTCAGTAACTACCATGTATTCTGCTTCAGTCATAGACAAGGCAACCACGGTTTTGAGCTCCGATTAGTTGGAGGTCGATGCTATAAACCGTAGTTACCTTGTCTACGATTGAAGCAGAATACATGGTAGTTACTGAGGCAATGAAAGAAGCCATTTGGCTCAGTGGGCTTATAAGTAATTTGTGCTTACAACAGGATGAGACTATTATTTATTGTGATAGTCAGAGTGCACTACATTTGGCGAAGAACCAGGTATATCATGCAAAGACGAAGCATATTGATGTCAGGTACCATTTTATTCGTAAGATAATAGCTGAAGGTGATATCTTTTACTAAAGATTGACACTAAGAAGAATGCTGCAGATATATTGACAATGACGGTCCATTACAGAAGTTCAAGCTATTCTTGGACCTAACTAATGTGTTGTCAAGGTGAGCGCGTGTGGAGAAGACGGTCGATGGAAATCTCTTTTAGAAATCAAGTCAAGGTGGAAATTTGTTGATAATGGTTTGCCTTAAATCGCTATTTTATTGGATTAGTTGCCTTATCTTTTTGTTTCCTATTTAATTGGGCAGTGGCTATTATTTAGGAGTTGTGGGTAAGTCCATATAGGTTACGATAGAAATATGGGTCTACAAGTAGATAAGGATAAAGTTAACTTTCTAAAAGTTAAGAAGAAGTTGGAGCTTTACGTACTTGATATTGGGAGGTTACTTTTCTTATATAGGTTATTTTAGAGAGAGAAAAAGATCCAGACAATTAGAGGGAGACTTTTGGAGGGTTTTGTAGAGAGAAGAAGGTTTGGTGGGAGATTGAGCTCTGTGTATCTGGTTCTCTCAAGTAAATGGTTTGTAATTTTCGTCTTTGATTTAGTGAAAAACATCGATTGTCTTTGCCCGTGGATGTAACCCTTTTGGGGTGAACCACGTAAATTCTTTGTGTTCTTGTGGTATGTGTTTCATACATTATTTCTCGTACTTTATTTGCCTAAAATCAACTCATCGCGTTTAGAGCTTTCGCGCATAACAAGTGGCATCAGAACCTGGTTTAGGGTTTTTGATTTGGCAGTAAAGGTTTCGATTGCAAGGTTCGAGGTGGAGAAATTTGATGGCAAACACTAGTTTTCAGCAAGAATGATGAAGAAATTTATTTTGCAAAAAATGAATTTATAAAGCTGTCCAATGGATGTTAGCATGTTAAGCAGGTGATTTTGATATCAAGGTGGAGATTGTTGGATTTGGTGCTATCTAAAATTACTCATATAAGGAAATCCCATATTATGTGGGATTGATATTGATAAGTTTCATATAGGAAATAGAAATCCAATAAGATTAGGACTCTTGTATATATCTCATGGTTTTTTGAGATATATGTAATATCTATAGGAAGTTTCCTATTTAGTGTGAATTCCTAACCTTATATATATGAGATGAAAGAGCAGAGAATTCGTATGCCCTAGTTAGAGAAAAGAGAGCTTCCTATGGAGAGAAACATTGTGATGGTGTCTCATATTGACTCCTGTGGGTTGAGTGTCTTGTTTCTTGTAGAGAAGCTGTTCCAATAGAGATTTTGGGTGGTTTCCTTTTTTATTTAGATAGAAAGTCAGTTTCTCGTTGCTCTGCGTCTCTATCTGGTGTTGTCGGTAATGCTTGCAAGAAGTAAAGAGATGGAAGGGAGAGTGGTTTAAAAGGGTTTATTTGATTAAGTTTGGTTGAGGTTAGAGAAGTAACTCTACGTCCCAAAATCTATAATGTAACTTTCATTGGTATAGTGGATTTCGGTTTATCGTGTCCGTAGATGTCGTCACATCTGTGACGAACCACATAAATCACGATGTTTTTTTTTTTCTATTATTTATTTTTTATTTTATTTTTCTTGCTTGTTGTTTGTTTTTTTCGATTATTTTTTCTTGTACTTTATTTGCCAAAAATCAATCTATTGGGTTTAGAGCTTTTGCGCACAACAATTACCCCTTTGCTTGGTTCTCTCTCTCTTTCTCAGGTACACTTATTGCCTGGTTCCCTCTTTTTAAGCTATCTAGGCCTCACAACGTCTGCAGGAAACACAAAAGTTCAAGGCTGAGCTCTTGAAGAAGCTATCCAAGGACAAGGATACTTTTGGCAATGACTGTGAGAAGGTGGTCAACATATGTGCAGAGGTAAGCTTTAAGCTTTGTGGTGGCTTGATTGCCAATGTAAATTAGGGTTGATTCTTCACAGATCAGCACCTTAATTTGTAGAAACTTTGATAGATGTCAAGCCTTAAAGGGAAAAATAAAGTACAGATAGAAGAAAAATCACAAAAGCAAAGAGAATCCACCTACCAAATTTTATGCACTTAAAAGTTCTTCAGAAAATAATAACTGATCTCCTCTAAACCTTTTCTATATAACTCAAAAACCTTAAAAGGATCCTAAACGTCCATTATTAACTTAAAAATAAATTACTAAATTTTTCCCTTACATAATAAAAATAACAGCTGAAATAACAAAATAACAATATTTTTAAGGTTGCAACCTTAAACAAACAAAGTAAGGCGTACCTCCAAACTTTATCAACAGATGCAATTTTGTTGTAAAAAATTTCCAGGATGGCCCAATAATGAATTTTCATCTCTAACTATAAAAGCTTAAACTTGAAAAATGGCTCAAATCAAGTAGATCGATATATACATGAATGCATGAAAATCTTGAAAATAGACGGTTTAGATAAATTTGTTTCAAGATGTACTTTTTTGGGACCTCTAAGACTGAAGAACAAAATACCCGCTGAGGATTAGACATGCACACCTGTTTATGTACATGTAAAATGTCCACAAAACTGATATGCCCCTTGTGCTATATCACTAATAAAGATTAGCATTTTGTATTATTCAGTAATAGTTTTCCCAATGAAGGAAAGTAATGCATACCAACAAGTCTATTTAATGAAATAATTTTCGTCCTATGTGCGCTTGTAGCCTGCTCATTTTTCATTTATAAACAAGTAAAGGACAACTCATATTGTACTTGTATTATTTATATTAGTAGGTAAGTACTAAAGAGAAAGTTAACTCTATCAGTTTGTGGGAGTAAGCTTTACGTTCTACCTACGAAATTGACATGGAAATAGTCCATTATTTTCAAAATTATCATTAAAAAAGATTGTTCCAATAGGAAACACAAACTTGCAGTCCCATCTCCAGTCATCTCGAAATCTGGCCATTTTGCATCAGTTTATGTCATAAGACTTGGTGATGTTAAACATGAATAGCACAATATAGGATCATATCCTGATGTGATTATTTAGAGAGTTGTGCATTTAATGATGAAACATATGCGTCTTGAGCATTATTTGGGTTTCTCACAAATTTCAGATCTTGTGTCCATAGGATACAGGAGTGGCTCTCCCATAAACTCAAATACTTTTTGTTTCAATAGGCTAAATTTCTCGAGGACTTATTTTTGCCCGTATGGATGTCCCACTTCCTTTTTATCTATGAGATGTTCATCTTCAATAGAAAGCATACATGTCCAGTGATAGTAATTGTTTTTTTAAGTTCTGAAGAAGCCGCTTTCTGTTCCTAGAAAATATAAAAAACGCTCCAAAGCGGTCATATGGAATGTCAAATGGATGTGATTTCAACTGATTGGTGCCAGCTTTGTGAGAAGTAAAGAAGGGATTGTCAATGTAGTACGTACCATCGTGATATTATTTCACAGTATGCGAAAAAACAATTGAAGGACTGGAAGAGCACTTTCTGTTTTATGGATTGATGAATGATTGGAAGAGAATTGCAACTGCTTCTAGGAATTAAAAATTTTCCAAGCCAACTCCATGAATCTTGTTTAGACTTTGGAGTTTCTTGAAGTTTGCATATGAATATCACATCCATAAGATCTGCCCAAGAAAATGCATTCCTCACATATGCTTTACAGTGGAAACATGCCCTGTAGTTTGTATCATTTTCGTGCATATGAAAGTTCTAAATCTCTTACTGTAGTACTCATAGTAATTTGTGATACTGCAACTTTATTATTGCATATCCTATCAATATTATGTAACTAGATCCTATTATAAATTTTGTCCCATCACTCGTATCTTTCAACATAAAGTCGCACCATGCGTGTGTGCATAGACAACTCCTTAAGGTTTTAGGTTAGGTACATCTATACATGAAACCATAGTTGTTGTAACCTTGTAGGAAAGGTCACGGACCCGCCTTGGAACCTCGATCCCACGATTCCAGCTAGGGATCGTGGATGGAACATAGATCCCTATATTGTGATCCTCGTTCCCAGCAGGTTTCAACCGCGGTTCTCAAGTGTATGATTCATTGCATATGATGTTTTCTCTATTCGGCGCTGATTCATATGCCCTGATTCAGGTTTGTACCCAGTGGTACTGTGAACCCACACATCATTTACTATTCCTTAAAACTTTCTATTGCGATTCCTTCCTCATGGAATGGCACTTCCTTGTGCCAAGGATCGCACTCCCTTCCTATAGGATCGTACAAATACCTATCCTAACCATAAGGAGCTTCTAGCAATCCATGGTTTTGCGGACCCGAGCTAGCTCCTGCTCTCGGGAAGGCACCCGCACCTGACAACTATGCATGAAACGTAGTTGTTTGGTAATACAATTATTGAGGAATATAATATGAAAGAGGTGTAAATAGTTACAAAGGTTTACTTACATGAGCATAATATGTGCGTTATTGTTGTTGCTAATGTCCTGGGAAAAATCTCAAGAATAAAGAAATCAAAGATCTAATGAATAGATTGAAATAAGGCAAAGCTTACAACCTTTGCCCTCCTTATCTTCATTATTAAATATTGGTGATTTACTCCTGAACTGAGTTTATTTTATGATGATGATTGTATTTCATGTAGGTGTTATTTATCAATATGTTATTTTCTCTATGGCTTGTAAAGCTCTCATCAGCTTTAAGGTTAGGACCTCTCAAATTGATTTCTTATCCAGTTTGCTCAATTGCCTCTGGTAATGCCATTTCATGCGCTGTGTTTTACATCCAAGTTGGATCTGGCCCTGATTGATTGCTTCTTAATCTTCAAGTCTCTTTCTGTAGAACCCATATATGGGCTACATTGCAAAACATCAGGCGCCCGTGCATTCAGCAACAGACTAGCCTTCACAATGAGCTTTTAGTATTTCACTATTCAATCCACTACATCCATATGATTTGTTCATAGAGCATGTATGTACTGTTTAACCACATTAACGGTTGGTTATAATATCTTGGCATCCCATAGTTAAGTAAAATAGTTTTTTAACTACTTGTTATTACCTTCCAACATCTTCAAGGGGTACACCAGATCTTCAGGGAGGTTAAGAATGAAGCACACCTATTGTCAAGGGAGGACCATAGGGATGACATGTGGTGTTTTATGGTAGCTAATTGATGTTGGCTTCCACCTTTCTTGTAAATCTTGTAGCTTTTTAGGTTCTCTTCTCCCCCATCTTTATATATGTCTCAGTTTGTTTGTACTCTCTGTACAACTTGATGTATGCATTATATCAGCAATGAATGACACCCACCTATCAAAAGAAAAAAGAATAAACATCGTCAAGTGGCTAAGTAATTTTAGAAACGGGTATGGGCTTCCATGAGTGACTCAATAGGTTCGGCAAGTTCTCCCATCTCCTGACGGAGATCTATAAGTTACTTTTTGTTTGACCTTGCTACTTCCATACCAGAGTTATCTTTCAAAGTCTTTTTCATCAGTTGCCTTCACACGTATGGCTCTGAACCTCCATTCGTCACCCATGAGAATGATATCATCAGCATCTACGAAGGGGATTGTGGTTTTGGCCCCTCTACTTGATGAACATGAACTAATCACTTTACTCCTTTGGAATCCAAGACTTACACTGCTCAACTGAATTTCTGAAACCATGCATGTGGATTTGTTTCAAGCATTGAATAAATACTCTTTTTGAGAAGAAAAACTCACCTTAGTCGACTTATCAAGTGGATTAGTTTTGTGTATGAAAAACTTCAGGTAGCATTGGAGTTTTTCCTTTTATATAATTTAATTGTTAATTTGCCTAATTGAATGTCTCTTCTAATGTCTGGCCATGTGGTATGACTTGGGTTAAGTGCTAGGTTTGATCCCATTACAGACGCAGTCGTTTTTTTAAGTTCTTCACATTAAAATTTGAAATACTCATCAAGTTTTTCTATGTTAACTCCGTGTCTCATAAAGTTCATTCAGTTTTGGCAGTCACCAAGTCAGCCACTTAGTTTATTTTTTTGAGCACTAGACTCAATTCATATATTGACTGCTTCAATTTGCATAGTCTAGCGCCCAAGAAAAGTTATAGAGAGTTGTCGTGGCCATCAGGATACCTTTGAAAATACTCTACAAATGGAAAAAAATTTAGAAAAATGGGAGTGATTGTTAAAAGTGTGATTTCGATCCTTGGAAGATGCTAAGGGACTTATTAATGATGCTGTGCGTTTATGAGCTTGTATAAACACGTGGGAAATGGAGTGTTCCCTTCCCACCAGTGTTCAAAAGAACGAGTTGGACGGACTAGTCAGTCATGGCCCAACTCGATTAGTCGAACCAACTCTGACTTAGTTGGCCTATTAGTGCCAAGTTTATACTTCAAAATGAAATGGGGTAAAAAATCCCAAAAACATTATAAAAAATTGTAAAAAATATTTTAAATTTACATGTTTTTTTTTATTTTATATTGTCACATAAAATAAGCAAAACAAAAAAATATTTTAGGCATAATTGGGTTTTGGAGAAAAGTTTTAGGCACCTGAAGCGATACTTTTTCAGTAAACTTGTAATTGAAGGAGATTACATATTACAAAATAGTAAAAAACACTGCTCAAAAGTAGTAAGATTGATGATGGGGTTCAAGATTTTCTTGAGTTTCGCTATCAGGGTTGATAGCGGGAAAAATCGTCGTCAAGCCTGGTGGAGTCTGTAGGGCAGCACAGTACCTCCTTGCCAATTAGGATTACTACTTTGTGAAGTTCCTAGGCTATAGTTATTAGACTTTGAAACTGTTCATGCTCCTCACCCCCTTGACCTGTGTTTTGCCTCTCATCGTCGTTTTTATCGCCCTGAATAATTAGCCTACAGTGCCCTCGACCTGTGCATCGCTGTCCAGGGGTGTAGCTGCTAGGCCTGGGGCTCTT